TTTCCGAGAACGTTGCGACCGAACCAACTAACTATTTGTGGCCGGAATCCTCGCAGCTTCGTGGAATACGAAATGGGTACGTACCTGCGTCTTGAGCATAGAGCTCCATAATTATTCGGGATTAACATTTATATACTGTGAAGAATATCACTATGACTGTTCAAAGTTATCTTTTTAAATCATAAAACCTTTTCTTATATATTTCGCCTCGGTTTTAGGGTTTCGTACCTCAAAATAAAAAAACGGAACCCTTATAGGATCAGTTTGTTGTCCATCTGCCTGTCCGTCGGCCCGTCAAGACCCTTTATCTTGGGAACACGTGGAGGTATCAAGTTTAAATTAAAACCATATACCCAGGTCTACGGTCCCTTGAAGCTGTAAAATAATTAAACATAAAAGTTAAAATAAAAAAAGATACGGCCGCAAAAAACTACTGTACTGAGTGTTATGGGTTCGATCCCGACATGGTTCAACACTTGGTGGATACACGCATTGTTTGGTCTGAGTCTGGGTGTACTTTGCGTCCGTTTCATGTATGTTTGTAAAGTCCCGACTTAGGATAGATTCGTAGTACGGGGGTTGGCTTTTTGAAGAAAAGAAAAAACAAATAGTACCTAATACAAAGGTACAACTTCAGGTTTAAAAAAAATCCTCAACCAAAAAACGGGTCATGAGAAATATTTTATATTTATTTGCGAATGAATGTTTAAGCTTGGTTTTTGTTTGAATCTTAACAATCAGAAGAACAGTCACGGGATCGAGGGTTGATCGGAGCTGAATTTTGAGCGAACTTTTATTACGAGAATTGACCTTCTGTAATTCCAATACCTCCTTTCTAAGGAGAGGCCTATGTCCAGCAGTGGACTGTTAAATGCTGTTGATGATGATGAATTCCAAATCGACTTTACTCTTCAACAATTTCTAACAATAGGATTATCTTAAGCAATCTTAAGTTAAATCATTTTTGATGGATGGCGTAGTGGTTTGTGTAACGGACTGCTATTCCAAAAGTCGCGGGTTCGATTCCCGCTCAAGTCAAACATTTGTGTGTATGAACATTTGATGTTTGATTTGGTCTGGGTGTTTCTATGTATAATATGTATGTATTTACAAAAAAAAGTATATATGTATTTATATCAGTTGTCTAGTACCCATAGTACAAGCTCTGCTTAGTTTGGGACTAGATGGCGTTGTGTGTATGTGGAAAAAAAAAAAAAAAAAAAAAAAATAAAAAAAAAAAATACATGTAAGAGTGAGCTTCAATTTTTTTTAATAGGCCTCTGTGGGATGTCTCCCCCTATGGGATTACTTATACTGATTATGTAGCTTAGCTGTATTTCTCCATAACATCGTGCGTGCATCCCAAGCGTCGATGAATAAATCATTTTTTCTTTCTTTCTTTCAAATACGTGAGTGTACATACAGTACCTATGTAGTGAGATTCACTTCAGAAGGCTGTAACTGCCCAGTAACGGTCAGATAACCTATCCTGTTGGAATTATTGCTGCCACTCCTCGTCTGTATAACTAATATCCCTCTACTGCCACTGTCTTTTCTTTTTGACTGGCCTGTTGTTCTAGTGGTTAGTGACCAGGGGTCGTGGGTAGGGCAAGTAATTGTGCGGTGAGCACGGTCATTTGTTCTGTGTCTGGGTATACTTTATCTGTACTATATATGTATTTAGAAATACATAAGTATGTTTATCAGCAGTCTGGTAACCATAGTACAGGCTCTGCTAGTTTGAGATCAGACTGCCGTGTGTGGGATGTGTGAAAATATTATTATTATTTTACATACCTTTCCTTTCCAATATCGCCAATTTAGTAGCCTCAATTCCCAAACTTCCCAGTACGGTAATAGACTTGTCCCTCATAATGTCTATGGGAGCTAATAATAGCTTTTTAAGCACAACACAACTATCAAGATAATGACACAAGACAAGATAATCGCTTCCCGTGAATCGACGTGATTATTCATCAATGCACGCGACACACACGGTCTTTTTTAACTTTCACAACGATTGGAGCTTATTTATGTCTTTTACATATTATTATGAAATGAAAAATAAGGGTTTATGAAAAGCTACTATAACTATTCATATATTAATCCGTGACATTTTATAAACATCTGACATCAATACAATGTTTTAAAAACAAACATCAAAAAAAACATCAAATGAAAAATTACCAGTTATATTGTGAGCGCTTCTTTCATATTGCACATTTATGCATTATATATTATTATAAACTTTAATCACACTTGATTTACATTTTTTTACAATTTCTCCATTCGCCAAACTGTTCTAACAGTTTGTAGTCGTTCCGTTCAATTTATAATAACCTTAGTACTTTAATACTAGTTTTTTAATTACTACTGTGTACTAACGGTGTACTTACTAACACAAAAAAAAACAAAATAAATTCAAGACAAACAATACATAACTATGTGTAACCTGACTATAATATCACCGTTGTATAACTTCGGTATTCTTTTTAAATATCGAAAAAATAATAGAGATTTTTATTTTAGAAGATAAATACCAACCTCTGATATGTATTTTGCATTGAACATTTATAAATAAAATGAACGCTCAACCGGAACCAACAATCCTAGATTGTCTTGCATTTTTTGCATACAAGAAGTAAGTTAATTGGATATCTGACGGGAGATCAATACTTTTAAAAGTATAAAAGTCTTTATACTGAAAATACTATTAATTATAAGTGATAGGTAAAATTACAATCATCAACATCATCATCATCAACCCTTTACTAGTCCACTGCTCTACATAGAACTCTTTCCAACTTAAAAAGAAGGTTTTGGCCTACTACACGACGCTGGCCTGACGGGTTGGTATAGAATTTGTATTAAGTTTTTCTTCTCTCTGTAGTGCTGTTGTCCTGCGTAGTTTGCTCCCTTAGTCGCCTTTTATGACACCCACGTGATGAATAGGGGTGGTGACACTAAAATTACAATACAGATTATTAATTAAATTGATAAAACGAGTTACCCAGTAGTAAAATTATATTTAAATCGCTTCTATAATTAAATTAGTTGTTATCTGCTGTAAATTTAACTTTATAATAGTCTGTAATTCAAGCTTACTGTTACAATAATACCTATATAAAACATATTACAGTGAATTCGTCGGTATGTTAGCTGCTGCTTTGATATTATAAACTAACCTGTGAGTATAGTAGGGCAAAACCTCCTTCCTAAGGAGAGGCCTATGTCCAGCAGTGGACTATTAAAGGTTGTTGATGATGATGATGATGAACCTGTGAGTTCCGTGGTTAGCGATTCTGACTGATAAACTTGGAAGTCAAAGGTCGTGGGCTCGATGCAAATTATTTTGTGATTACCATGATCATTTGCTTGTAAGTTGTCCAAAATATATGTACTTAATTATATTTCAGACTGTTATTACTATTAGTAGTGGTTTAAGCGGTCGGAAAGCCGCTTCCTCCTACGCTGAGTGTTGTGGGTTCGAACCCCACATGGGACGACACTTTGTGTGATCCACAAATTGTTGTTCTGAGTCTGGGTGTTCTTTGTGTCCGTTTCATGTATGTTTGTAAAGTCCCCCGCGACACAAGATATATTCCTAGCGGGAGCTGTCCTTTATATAAAAAAATATATATGAATAGACTGCCTAATTTTGGATCAGACGGCCGCTTGTGAAATGCGCCAAGTTATTGTTTGTTCTTTGTTTTTTGTAAGTTGTTTGTTGTAAGTATTGTAAGAAATTATGTGTGTGTGTGTATTGTAGAGTTATACAAAGACGTGTTTTATGCAAGCAACATGTCTAGATTAAATCTACTGCTGAACCAATAATAATTATAACTTTTATTTAAAGAAAGAGTAGAATAATTTATAATAAATGGTTCTCTAATTTATAAATGAAGTACAGTTGTTGTTTGGCCGAACTAGGTTGATCCTGTGTCTCGGGCGAAGAAGTGCTTACAAACTATTTTATTAGTATAAATCTACATAACTACAATTTAATTATAATATTCTAATAGCCTACACAAGCAACTAGCAACATCAGTGATAAGTGGGTCAAAAATAATGCACTGAGATCGTTCAGCAAGTTTTCATTTAAATATTTCGAGTAACTGCTCAGTTTGCTCATACGACAATATTTGTAAATAATTATGTAATGTGTTTTTACAGCTGACATAATTTAATTTATAAATACTTAGCTCTTTCCTTAATCTATTAGAAAAGAAAAAGAATCTATTTGAATAAACGAAATTTGATCCTGATTGTGAGGCACAGACTATATCTTTTCGTCTTTTGTTAGAAATATCAGCGTGATAGGTAAGTAATGTATGTTGTTTAAGTACTGTGTGATATATGAAAACTTGGCGAACAGTCATCACCTTGCACTATTTATAAGTGTACACTAAGTGTCGTCTCATTTGGGTTTTAACCCACAACACTCGGCGTAGTAGTAAGCGGCGTGGCGACCGCTTCAGCCACTACGCCATCCGTCAAATATACAAGTTAGTAATTGAAAACGAAAATTAATGTTTTGTTAAATTTCTTTTTCTATCCAAGAAATAACGAAATTCTTATTTTCTCCTCCACTTGCGCAGTAAAGCCTTATTTTGTAATCGGAAAATGGAAAACAGCATACAGAACCCTAACAATAATAAAATGTAAGTCTTTCCACCCCAAAGTATGCAGTGTTGCAGCATTCAGAACATTTTTAAATTAGATCAATAAATAACTCGATCGACAGTTAACCTACCCACCACAGGCATAATGCTGATAAAATGTCCATACATTTACTTTATTACCCTTAATTCTCTTTTAAATAACGTACGATCGCTATCTTGGAACGCATTAGCTTCAATAGATACAAACGGAGTTAATTTAATACGCAATCTCGACGCCGACTGCGGAAAACCTCGTGTTCACTATCTCTGCGGGGGTCAGGGGCATAATAACCCCCGCACTACCCCCCAACCTCTCAGATATCCGCCCTCAACAAACCATTAATCAGGCGTCATAGACACGCGAGGTGCACCGGCCTCGGGTATATTGATGAGCTCTGATGGAATATAAATGGCCTCAGAAACGTGATATTCTACCAAATTGCCGTTCACTCACGACGGCCCGTGTTAATGAAATTTCACGCTTCTAATGTTTCACGAAAGTAATCCGACCACTTCATATCCAAGATAGTTTCATTGTTACCTAAAGATGGAAGCCATCTTTAAATTAGTTTAGCCCATTCCTTAGGGAGTGTCCGTCAGTTAAACCCACAATAAATGTTTCTGGTTACATAAATAATATCCATCGCACAAATCTCTGCCTTACTTAATTGCCCCTTGAACCCTGACTATCAATTTGTGAAGAGAACATGTATAACAATCGTTTTTACCGCCATCTATTACAAAATAGCTGAACTATAAAAATAAAAATGTTCAGCATTCTGTCCAGAACAAATATTTATGCGGGCGCGTGCGTTATAATGTTTTCAGCAGCTTGCCACTAGATGTCTCTACACGGTGTTCAAATGAAAAAAGGATGATTTTAAGTTTATATTTGTTACATTTCAATTAACTTATTTAAATATCACAGTCACGTAATTAAAAAGATATGTTGATATGTATAAAGATATGTTCACAGGCGATAGATTGAATTGTGCTTTGAATGTTGCCAAATAACGATTATCTACCTAAGTGGTATTTATTTACCATCGTCGGTGATAAGTTTACAATCATTTTATTTAATTTTTTCACACTCTATGTTACTAACTAAATCGCCATGACCACCCGGTAAATAAATTAAAAGGATTAAAAACTCTTAAAATTGGTTCCTGCCGCTTCCCTCTTCCCTCCGACTTATATAAAAACATACCCCTAGAATTAGAACTACAAGAATAACCCAATATTGTGTCATCTCCGTTGCATTTATCTTCCACCAGATCACTCCAATTGTTACACTTCTTACCCATAAGGGACTTGTCGTTCAAAGCAGAAGCAGAGAATAGTCTCCATGCCTGAGCATGATCACACTCAAAACTGATACTTCTGTCCTCACATTCAGGTTGCTTCCCTGCTACACCATTCACATACACATCTGCATGTCCAATCGGCTCCTCGAGACCAAGGACACCAGCATTGGAATGTATGACCTGGACGAATTCGGCATCGCTTTTATCAAGCTTATGTTCAGTTTTAGAGAAACATGGTTTTGCCGGGTCCAGAGCGGTAATTCTTCCTAATTTCTTCTTCAGGCGTTTCTGCACCAACTTGCCCGTCATGCCAGCGACGTGAGCACCTAAGCTAAATCCTATTAAGTGCATGGATGTTACGTTAAAGCCTCTTTTGTGCAGCTTCTTGATGAAGTTGAATAAGAGATGGGAAAGTGGATTAACTCTTGACACTGAGGAGACGTATCCTCGACAGAAAGAGAGTCGAGTATCTAAGACGTACACTACATCATTTTTGGTCAATAGTGCTTCGACGATGGCGCTGGTAGATTCATCTGTGGGTGTGTTCCACCACCCTGGCACGTAAAGTACTAGGGTGGAAGGATTGGCTCTGAAGCTTTCGTGTGCAGCCATCACACGATATCTTCGACGCGATTTTTTTCTGAACTCCACTATGTCAGTTGATGGTGTATCTGGTGCGTAAGATCTGGCTAGCAGCAGCTCTAACGGTAGAGCCTCACCTGAAAGCAGACAATAGCTTTTTAGCATATTTCAGTAGTTAGCAGGATGAGCACCTGCATCTGTCTGTACCTACCTACAGAGGAGTTCGAATTTAAACTAGTACATGTAGAATAGGGATTAATAAGATATACCTGCTATAATGACCATATTTTATGTTATGAGATTTACTTTTAAATTATTAATGTTTACCTAAAATAATAAAAAAAGGCGTTGGTGCTTTTTATCAGAAATATTTCTTTTGTTGAAAATGTCAGTGTGGATACGCCAAAATTCCTGGTTGGTTGTTGTTTACTCTGACGATGAATTATTTATTTCTACTCTGAATAATTTATATTAGAATCTACGATGAACGAATCCTTACCTTAATTCCGTCGTGATCGTAGAATAACGTGGGGTTTGAAAAAAAAAAGTTCAGTTTTGCCAGATTTGGATACATCATCATCATCATCAGCCTATCGCAGTCCACTGCTGGACATAGGCCTAAATAGATATAGATTTGGATACTACATTGTCTAAATATTTTTACTACATTCAAGAGAAAAAAAATTATGTATTTTAGATTTAAAATTATTCAATCAGTAAACTGACGGATTTGATAGACGCTCAAAGTAAAATGATTTTTCTAGAAAATTATGTTATTATTAGTTGTTACTTTTATTGCATTTTAAAATAAACCCTATTTTTTCACTTATATGCCAAATTTCATAATTACAGATTTTGAATTAAAAAAGTTATGTTAAAAAAACTAACATATTTATTTGAAATGGCTGCCCTCTAAAGTTCAATAAATATCAGATCCGACACTATTCTACGAGTATGAAGATATGTGTAGCACTAAGAAGTACAGGTACAGCTGAAATTTACAGTTTCTTTACATCACTACACTTTTTATACGCATATTAAATAGAAGGTGGCTTTGTTGCCACTTTATTACGGTTTTAGTAACCATGCCTACATACCGTTTTTACATACATCAACTCACGCCGTATAATTGAAGGGATAGGCAGAAGTATATTAAACGCCTACATAATAGAGTGATAGGGCATTCTATGGTAAATAATGTTTATAAAGTTGTTAGTAGACAAAAACACCAAAGAACATTGTAAAAACACCAACTATGAACGGCTTTTCTTGGAGTGCAAAATACTACCAGTTCATGAGAAGGTATTGTTATTGATAGCAACAGAGCAACACGGTAGCGATGATTTCAAGCTGCATAAAACACGTCCGAGACGAAACAATGGTGATATGTTGCATGTACCCACATGTTATAATTATTATGGAGAAAGAAATCGTAATTATATGGTCCCTAAACTATAGAATAGCTTACCGCCAGCTATTTTGAATAGAAGAATGTGTAACGTAGGTGTGAATCTTACCTTCTTGGGTGGACAAAAGATAAATCTGTAATCAAATTGCTGGTATGTGATTAACTTTGCCATGTAATGTATGTGTGTGTTGTGTTGTTAATTGAAAGGGAGTTGCATCTGCCTACAAACTGTTAAGCAGTTTGGCAGAAGTATAATATTTCTGTGGCATGTAATTGTGTTGAATAAAACATTTTGCACGATACAGACTTGCCTAGTGTGGGGACCGCGTTTAATATTTATCTGATAAGATCTGCTACACTAATTTTATGTCTTGTTAAGCACTCCTGTAATTTATTTTCTTTGTGTTTCTAAATAAATATTTTTTCATTTTTTTCGTTTTTATTTTTTCATTAAATGAGAAAATTGGAAGTATAAAATAGGGGATTACCCTTGCCCGCGGCTCTGCCAGCGTGTATGTTTGTTATCGCGGTTAAAAATAGCCTATATCCTCCTAGAAGAATCAAACTATCTCCATCCCTCAGATCAAATTAAAAAGTCAAGATGGAACTTTGCGAAGTACAAAGTGTGGCCGGTTTTATAAACATGTGTGCGTGCATGGGTCATAATTTTATTTTATTGAAAATATTGGTTTCTTTGCTTACTTATGTGTGAAATGCGATCCTATCCTACTATCTATCGATCGTAGCTTGATTTTTACACGGCACACTTGATTTTAAACACAATTCACAATTACACAAATTCACAATATTGCGTGTAATTATGCACACTCCAAGGCGTAGTTTTAATTGGCTTCACTTCTTTGTTCACAGAGTACCATCTAAACTTTTTTATTTGATCCGAGATCCATACCAAATTTTATATATATCGCTTTAGCGGTTATTGATTTCTCATACAAACTTCTACCCCCCTTTTCAACTGCTTAAAGGATTATTTCTAGGATAAAAACTATCCTATGCTCTTTCCCGGGAATCGAACTATCTCTATACCATTAATTTAATCCAAATTGCTATTTAATCTAAATTGGTTCAGAGACAGAAGGGAAGTAAAAAGATATTGCATAAGCGAATAAATTATATGTATATTTGTAAATGAACTATTTATCTAATTATATTACTACTGTAGGAGAAGTTGTTTAATATTTATTTATTTATTAAATCTTTATGCACAAATGTCATTGAGTTAAAACAACACTAGAGAAGCAAACCTCATTATCACACGTCGAAAAAAGTGTAACCACTTTTGAACTTTGACGACGTAGCTTTGATACCACTAAACATTTGACAGTAAACATATTTATGTCTCATTTACACGCGAGACAAGAACAATACCATCGCTCGGATTAGACAAAGACAAAGATATAACTTTACGATGGTGGGCCAGTGTTGACTACCGTATGAAATTTTACCCATAACAACTAAGAAACAATTTTTTTTTTAAACAATTTTGTAATAAAATAAATTAATTTAAATATTCTAAATAATATATTTCGAATTGAATAGAATAGGTATAAATAATAAAATAACTGGAAATATTTGGTTAAAAGGGTTTATATTCAGTGTAAAATCAAACTGCGCTGTGAACCATCAGTTTTGTATACAATTGTCTTTTAGACTCTTTTTTATAAGTTTGTGTGGATATTTTACTTTCATGATACACTTATTACGTATGTAAAAATAATAGCAATAATAAAAGTGAATGATCAACTTGTACTGATAATAAATAATCCCCAGGGTGTATTGCAAATTCTATTATAATTTAAAAAACATAAGATATTTAAGATAAGATATAGATAAAAACAAAAAAAAAAATATTTTTATTTTATAAAAAAAATTATTTATGTTTATTTACTTTTTTATTTTATATTTTTATTTTTATGATAAACATTTATTATTATTCTCTTTATTAAATTTTATATTTACATATTAATTACATTTTTAAATATATTACAAAAGAAATAAAAATACATTTAAAAATATAAAAAATAGTAGACCACCGATATCGGGTACAGGTACCAGGACACCAGTGGTTAGGACTGCAAAGATAGGAACCTCCTCACTATACGAGCCGTGTCAAGGAGGACTGCCTTCTGTATCTTATTATTATTATTATTTTGTACAATTATTATTTAAAATTGATAATAAATTAAGAAAAACAATGAATTAATTTTTTTGTACAAAAGTCAGTCAGGTATTGTTCTTGTCTCGCGTGTAAATGAGACATAAATATGTTTACTTTCAAATGTTTAGTGGTATCAAAGCTACGTCGTCAAAGTTCAAAAGTGGTTACGCTTTTTTCGACGTGTTTTTTTTCAACGTTCAACGGGTCCCTAAAAAAAGGGATCGGTCCAGCCCTAACAACTACCGTTCTTCCTATATTTTATTATTATTGGCAAAATGTTTAAAAACAGTATAAAGCATATTATTTCATAAATTATAAATTCTCCCACTAATGTGGGAAAACCAAAATGATTTTTTAATGGTAACACTGATTCTAAATTACAATTATCAGTGTTTTATTTCAATTATAGCCTTATTTACGATATTATCAATACAAAAACCATAAACTTACACGTGAAAAGTAATTCCGCATGATTTATTAATGTTTTGTGACCTTGAATCGCATTCTTTCACTACGCATTTAGCCATTTTGGCGATTGTTACTGTCATGTGTCGCTATGTTCAACTCGGTTGACGCCACATTGAATAATGAATTGACGTTTGCTACGCATATGCCTGTGGACATATGTGCAGTAGCAACGATTTTAGGCGGTAATTACTCATCTATGTAAGTATTATATCAATGACAAATGTGGCAAAGGCGGACTTAATACCGTAGGTATTGCCATTGTATGTATAGATTTTTAAAATTTAAATCTCTTCTCTTAACTGTGTTTACCCACTAAAAAGGAGGAGGTTATCAATTCAGATTTTTGCGTTTTTTTTATGTATGTTCGGCCATAACTCCGTCATATATGGACGAATTTTCAAAATTCTTTCTTTGTTCGAAAGGAGTTTATTCCGAAATGGTCCATTTACATTTCATATAGATCTGATGATGAGTTTCGGAGACAGACAACGAAACTCTTCAAAGAATGACAGCAAATTAACCGCGATTGCTGCTATGTTTTTAGTTTCGGTTCAACATTTTTTTAAAAGGATTCATTTTTGTATTCACACTTCAATTGGGGATTGTAATCTCTAGAGTCGGATACATGGCTGCTTCCGAAATGTCCAAGCACCTTAAACTACGCGGAATTACCTTAAGCCAGTAACAAGAACTAGTTATAAAATCATCACGTCAAGCATTAATTAAGAATTTATTTTACTGTTTAAAAATTGCCATGACGTGCGAAGTAACTCGTTTGATATAAAACGTGTTCTTCAAAGAATTTTGCCATAACGGAAACAACCATAACAACTTTGTTAGATAAAGTAGAATAATTAGTAGTTGTTAGCTCGAATATCACGTATATTATATGGAAAGAATTCGCACCTAATCGCTTTAAATTGTTTTACATAAGTATTTTTTGTACAAGCCTTTTTATGCTTTGACGGCTATTTTGTCTGGTGGTTTGTGCTCCTGACTGTAAAGCCAGGGGCTGTGGGTTCTATCCCTATCCAGGACAATTAATTGTGTGATGAGCCCGATCGCTTGTTCTGTGTCTGGGTGTTATCTTGACATATAAAATTACTTGACCTGACTGATTGATTCAGCAACGCAGAGCCGGACCGATGGAGCAAAAGGTTGCCATTTTGGCAGCTGATGGTTTTATGTTGTAAGCACCCATTAAGAAAGGATGATTGGAGTTTTTTTTTAAATATTTCAGACATCTAACACACAACGCAATCTAGTTTTAAACTAAGCGGAGCTTGTTCCATGAAAACTAGATTGACTGATAGAATACTTATATACCTACTTCTTTTGTAAATACATGCATACATAGAAAACACCCACACTTCAAAACAAATATTTGCAGATTAAACAAACATTTGGTCCGACGCGTAAATCAAACCCGAGACAGCACAGCAGTCGTATACGCTACCACTGCAACACCGAGGCACTCATACCCCTAAGGGGGTGAAATAAGGGCTGAACTGTGGTATAGGAATTCGTCATTTTTAAAGTTAGAAAAAAGATATAATCACGTAAGCAAAGCCACGGGCAATAGCTATTGTGTAATAGACGAATATACTCTCCTGTGTTTTATTTCTACAGAACCATCTTACAATGAGGTTGTGAATATATCTACTTGATTTATTTAATTTATATTTACTTAATGATGTTTATGAACATCACGAACAGTTCGCGAGCTAAAGATTTACCTACAAACATAAGCCATAGGACACGATATATAACGTGACGGCGATTGGCTGGTTTTTACCCACGGAAAGTTAGCACAAGGGTAATTACCTACTAGCTGATCCGCGCAACTCCTCTGTTTCTCTAGAAATAAAGAAATTTTCCTAGTTTTGCAACATTTTTCAATGATTCTCTCTCTTATTGGTCGTAGCGTGGTGGCGGTAAATACACTAAAAGTTTTTTTTTAATTCGAACCAGTAGTTCCTGAGATTGGCGCGTTCAACCAAACAAACACACTTTTCAGTTTTACAATATTACTTTAGATATACCTATGGATGTTCCAATTAGTATAGCCCATTGGGCCAACAGATGAATTAATGACACATTAATTCAAACATTAAAGAATTTGATTTCTTTTTTATTTACGATCTACACAATTCAAGATTTTTAACAATAGGTCATTGTATTCAAATGTTTTCTTTAATTTCATTAACTAATATAAATTGGACTATAACAGTTTCGACTTTCCGTAACGTGACAGGTCAACACAGGTCATTTCTCCTCTTCTTATTTAGGTATATAAACTTTAGGTGAGTCAATTTTCACATTCCGCTGTGTGTGAAATTTGCTTAAAAGTAGAAACAAATAATTCGCTTCACGTATTGCACTTTACGATTTTCATTTCTATTTGTTAAATGAGCATGGGTAAAATCCATTTCCTGCCAGGTGCCCCATTTCATTCGAGGTCGTCGTAATGTTTAACGTTGCAAAGATTTTTCTTCAATGACGGGCCTGCCTGACTCCAACCCTCCTTAAGAATCTAATCGCTTTCAAACGGGATGTAGAAAAAGTAATTGTGGTAAGAAGAATGGTCAGGGGGACCCTTTGGGTTGTCTGTGATGGGGAAAGGAGACTAAGATCACAGTAGTTTGAAGAGGCCATGGTTCCGTACCCGCGTATCCGGTGATTCGAGGGTCAACAAACACAAGGATACCAGCTGAACAACAAAAATGAAATTATAGTTTAAAAAACTAAAAAACACGTGGGGTACCTAACTAAAAAACACGGGGAAACAGATTTAAATTGTTGAACAAACATTTTATTGACAGATATTGGTAAAAGTTAAATTATTATATTATAAAATATCTTGAAAAGCAGCGTTTTTTACGATAACATTATTTTCAACTTTTTTGTTTTCTACTTATTTACCTTTTTGTTTTTTTAAACTAATGTTTATTTTTGTTGATTATTTTCTCACACCACACACACACACACATACACCAACAGCCTGTAATAGTCCACTACTGGACATAGGCCTCTCCTTAGAAAGAAGGTTATTATTTTTTCATTATGACTAAAAAAGTATCAAGTAAGTAAGTAATATATGGCTCAGTACACGCCCTTTTAGTACTTAACCAAAGACACTTTCGTATTTTTTAGATATGGAAAAAGCCTAGCCAATCTAGGATAATCGGTCAAATTTATCAAATTATTGTATTGTCGTCGGTCCTTAATAAGTGTGTGCGAAGTTTTAATTTAATTCAACGATTTAAAGTGGGTCACACATACATACATACAAATCTAATAAAGGCGTGTTAAAATAGAAACAATGGTCTAGAATGACAATGCTGTGTTTAATGACTGATAATGTGTTCAGGTTTTATCTGGGTTTTTAAATGCGTTATTAAGAAAATGTTTTAATCGAATCGACTGTACTAGTGTTATCAACACTGCCAAGTTACTGTAGTATATATTACAAAGCGAATGTAAGTCTGTAAGTCGTTTGCATACCTTAATTCTTAATTTTTTATAAGTTTTTAAATAGATAGAGTTTGTACACAGACCAGCTAGAAATCTAAATAAATAACTTCTTACAATCAATGGTCTCAAACTAAAGCTATCTTATCATGTTATTGTATTTTTATTACATCACGAACACCATAAGTACTATATGTACACCACGATTTATGTATTACTAATGAATTGCATGATTACACCATGAAAAAAACCAAGTCCTCAGTTATTAACTGCTGTCAGTATATACAGCGATTATTCTATTTAGTATTTTAGTTTAGTTCAATTGTAACCAAATCTAAATGAAAATATTCGTACACCAGAAATGGTAGAATGTAAGAAACTAATGAATATAATACAACACCTAAAGTACTATGTTCTAACAAATAAATGTATCTTTATCTTATTTCACTACATGTGTACTAGTTGCGATTGAATTTTCGATATTCTAATGGTGTGTCAATGTGGTTATGTAGAAACCCAGAATCAATACAGGCCCCAACCTAAGAGAGAGAGGAATGCTTCTCAAAGGTTCGCTGTAAATGGAAATTTGTTTCATCCGACTGATTAGTTAAGACGGTAATCAACTTTCTGCTTTGTATCGCAGTCGGTTTCAGAGCTATGTGAGTACAACACCAACTATGCTGTCATTTTGGATCTCTTCTTTAATATGACTGTGACTAAGTATAATTCTAAAAGGTTTATCAGAATCGGCCTTTTTAGCATACTCAGCCTTATTCGGGTCCTCTATTTTGAACACGACTAGTATCTATACTATATCTATACTATATAATATTATAAAGCTGAAGAGTTTGTTTGTTTGTTTGAACGCGCTAATCTCAGGTCTGATTTGAAAAACTCTTTCAGTGTTAGATAGCCCATTTATCGAGGAAGGCTATAGGCTATATATCATCACGCTAAGACCAATAGGAGCGGAGCACCAATGAAGAATGTTTCAAAAACGGAGAAAAATTATTACTATTGAGAGACGCAGACGAAGTTGCTCGGGTCAGCTAGTTAAGGACTACGTAATTTTAATATTCTATCCTTTTAAAAATGCTATTAGTTCCAAGTAATAATTATTATAGCCAAAGATGCAATAAGTATTTAGTACCAACTATATTCAACAGATTACCTACAGACATGGAAAGTGCTTCTACTTCAAAACGGTCGCTTAAATACAAAATAACAAAGTTTTTTCTAAATGTGATCAGTGAAAACCTGACAGGAACCTAAAGTATAGTTATAATAAGTTATAAAAGTATTGTTGTTAAATGTGGCCCTCAATTTTTATTAATTAGATAAAATAAATGATCATTACTGTAATTGAGGATGTTATTTATTTGGTTATATTTTTTTATATTATTACAATTTATTTTCTCTTAATATAAATGAGAAAAGAGAGAAAAAAAGGGTATTTTTGATTGTTAAATCAAAGAGTGTAATAACAATAATTGAAGGTGTTGTGATATGATAACATGGGAGCTACGTCTGCCAACAAAGGGCTATACAGTTTGGAAGAAGTAATTAATTATTGTAATTGATTTTTGAATTTTAATAAATATTTATTGTTTATTATATTTTATAGTTGAGTATAACAAATAATATAAATTTATGCAGCAGCAGAAGCAGATACATAGTAGCTGGAACTTCAGAGTTGAGATCGAGTGCTGGCGTATTGTAATACGAATCCAATTGAACCATACCAATGAACCATAAATATTTGCAGGGGATAATTTTAATAGAAGTAATGTCCAATACACGTAAATAGTTTTCTGTTTGTTAAACACTTCTTTAAGTAATTTTATCATATCACCTTAAATTGACCGCAGGTTCATTATAGATCAACTTAAACATTTTTCTAAATAAATACATATTATAGATAAATTACACCCAGGCACAGAACCAATGATCGATCACACAATTATTTAGGTTAATTGAACCCACTACTTCTACACTACCCACACTACTAACCACTATACCAACAGTCCGCAAAAAATAATAGCCAGTTAGCATGATTCACCTACATGTAGCAGAGGCAGCTTTGATGAGCTGATCAAAGTTGTTGAGCACAGCAGGCGGCAGCAGGGCGCCGAGGGTGGCGAGGGTATCCGCTGCTGCACACGAGTACAGAGCCACCACCGCCAGCAGTACCCTCGCGTTCATCACACGCCGGCGCCGACAAATGCAGATATACACTTTATGAATACCACCTTAGCTCTATATTCACTACACTCTTTTAAATTCCTTGTTTTACATTCTGGAATAAAAACTTTTTTCTAAATTTAAAATATATATTTTTTAATAATAGTTTTAAAAACTCCGCGGTTTGGTAACGTCGCGCTGTGTTACCTTGATACTGACACGCGGCCGCACCAAACTCTTGTTTATAACAGCTTCGATCATAAACACGTAGGTATTTAGATATGTTAACTTACGTTTTTTGACAAACTGACGTATGAATGTGCAAAATATAGGATTTAATCTGTGGATTCTGATGCGTAACGGTAGTACAATGAGGATTCATTAGATGTCAAGGTGAGTTAAACAATTTTCTCAAATAATTCGAAATAAAGTGCTTTAGATAATCTTCCTTTATAGCTCTTTGTTAAAGTCAGGTTATTACGGATGTGGTTTGTCTATAGAATTCAATTTGTTTTAACGAGCGACAGTTTTTAAAATAATTGCTTATGTAATCAAATTCATTTTGCTGTCTGCCTAATTTTTAACTTCAATTTAAAGGAAGTTAAAAAGACTTGATGTTTTTTATTATCAACAATGAAAAACAAACATTAAAATTAATAAAAAATTAAAAGAATAGTAGCTATAACATGAAGGAAGGAAGCTTGGAAAAGAAATATGTTTAAAAATTGGCTTTAACAGTAGGTAAACCTAATAAAAATATTAAATGAATTATTTGTTTAAAGTATCGCTGACTTTGATTACATTATTTTTTGTATTAAACGGTATTCTTCTTTTTTTTATGTTTCTTCAAATTCGAAAGGGACCAAGAGGAAAGTAGGTATACCCTTTTAAGTCATAAAAGATTTTTCTAAATGAGTTCATAAATGACCGAGGTAACAAACATAAAAACCAAAGTACAACCGAATTAAGAAACTTCACCTTTTTATATACGTATTTGTTAAATACCACCTTCTGATGGCCAACCTTTGACATTTTGACGGAAGTTAAACCTTTACGAAGCATTCGAATCGCTAGTTAAACACCAATACTATGACATAACCGTTTGGCATTCGGCCTCGACACTCGCCTCGGTCACGTGACGTGTGACATTGCACAGCCCTACGCCACATATGATTCCATGGTTTTATGGTGGTGATGGTGGCAGCCATGGTCCAATGGTAATTGTTGTATAATAGTTATAGTACGCCAAATTATAGCATTAGAAATGATATTATAAATATCAGACAATATGGTTTAGGTATTTTACTCGACATGACCAAGGCCTATGAAAAGGTGCAGATCAAAATCCTACTAAATAAATTATATAATAAAGGTGGAAGAGCTCATGACTGGCTCAGCTCATACTTAACAAATCGACAACAAAACAAAATGGAAAAAAATCATTTAAGTTACAGAGACATAAACGCCTCAATTCCTCAGGGCACTTTCTTTTGGTCACTTTCCCTCTGCCCCCTCTGACATAAAAAAAGGGCAGTGTGATAGGGTGCTTGCTATTTCTTATCTACATCAACAACCTACCAAAATGCATAAAGGAATAATGTGTCATGTTTGCAGATGTCATCTCCGTATTAGTTTCTTCTAAATTTTAATGACAACATAAACGCAATACTTACTAAAACAACAGATTGGATGAATGAACACAACTAAGAAATACCTGTCCATCCATTCCAAAAGAAACCATTAAATATAAACTTTAGCTTTGAAGGGATTCAGCTTCAAGTCGTTAAGGAATTTTACTTATTAAAAATAATTATAGATACTTATATTAATGGGAAACCTCACATAAAAAAAGTTTGATCACAAATATCAAAATTTTCATACTCTCGCGAAATTAAGAAGACGACAGACCTTTCTACTGCTCTTGTCACATACTCGTACGTATCTTCTTGCTTGAGCTATGGCATAATCCTTGTGGGAAATAGTACAGAGGCACACACTATCTTTACCCTACAAAAAAAAAACAGAATTCTAACTAATATTGAAGAAACAGAGACCTACAAACCCCATTTTCTGAACATCAAAATTCTAACTCTACCAAGTATATTTAGAAATTAATAAATTTGTTCGAAAACATCCGGAATACTAAAGTAAAAGAGAGGACAGAAATAACTTTAATAAATTACCAGAAACGATTAAACAAATAACAAAATTTTTTTTTTATTAATAACTTAAAACTTTTCCTGTTACAAAAAAAACTATTACAGTGTAAAATAATATATGGAAGAAATAAACAATTTGCGACAACGCATTTAAAACATTATATTACCTACTTCAACAGTGCAAATACAAGTCCAAAACCAAGTGCAATAACTGATCAAATAACATATAACATTATAATACATTTAATAATAACATTTATAACAAAGACATAAAAATATAGTGAAATTCAATATAAACTTAGTGCAATAAATAATTACTAAATATTAAAAAAAAACGGCTATGTATACAGGTTATATATTTATAAGTAATATATTATAATAAAATTTAATAATAATTATTCCCCCCTCTCTCTCTCTCTTCTATGCTGTGCCCGACAGGGTCCATAATTACAACTTTTAATTATAACTTTTTAGCAACTGTACAATTTACATTATCGAAGCAATAAACTATTAAGTATGACATAATACGTTTATTGAATACCGCAAGGTCATGTATTAGGGCCGTTACTATTTGGCTTTACATTTTTATTTGATGTCACCATTGTGATGATACCAAATCTGATTACTGTTATAAATGCTAATGTGAATATGTTTGTTTGTTACACTTTCACGTATTCACTAGTCATCTGATTAACATGCAATGTTTTGTATAAATTGACAAGGTTACAGTAATACGTGGGGCATACTGAAAGTATCTGGATCTGGCCACTTTATAATAAAATAATGAAAAAACAATTATGGAATTCGAAAATAGAACTCTTTGTGAACTAGTTAATTTTTAATTTGCCAGACTGTCAATTGTTTTTTCCTTGTGACGACCCTTCGAAAATTGTGTGTCGCTATCAAAATGAATTTAACTCGTGAACATTTTCGTTCAATGATTTCTTAAGATTTTCGTTGTGGCTTAAGCCAACAAGAGAGTTGCCAGAGACATCAATTGGCATTTAGTGATGAAGCACCATGTCACAGCTCTATGTATTGGTAGTTTGGAGAATTTAGTCGTGGACGTGATCATCTCCATGAGGAGGTACGTGAAGGTTACAGACTCCAATATTGACACCGTACGACAACTTATTGAAACTGACAAAAAAAATACTTGCCAGCAAATTCGTGCTTTGTTAGGAATTGGAATGAGCCAAGTGCAAAACATTTTACATGTGCATCTGAAGGTTCGGAAGATTTGCACTCGATGGATACCGCATGACTTAACTTTTACAGTAATTTAAGACTGGTCCAACTGCTTTGTACAGTGGTTTCAGCGAATGTAAAAATGCAATAATTGCGATGCGAATATACTTTAAAAAACAATAAATGTATCATGAGTCTTATATATAGTCTTATTTATCAGAATCCAGAAACTTTCAGTGTGCCCTAAGTACGAGTATATTTAGGTTACCTTTCACCCAGCAAAATAAAAACGGTTTCTAAGGCATAGAAAAAATACTTTTAGTTGGTAAAATCTACAATAAACAGCAAAGTCGCTGGTAATTGATAGACTATTATAGTCAATAGCAGTTGCAACTCATCTTTTTCATTATTACTATGTTTTTTACGAGTACGTCATTGTTGATTCGCAGACTCATTTAAATTAATCAAAAGTCTAGTCGCATAATGTACGAATACATTTATAACTTTTTGATAGCAACCTTCATGAATACGAAACCGATAAACATTTTCTTTTTTATTTCTTTATGTGTACTAGCTTGAGACTTTACCAGTATCTTTATATTTCTCTTATTTGTAGCGATATAAACTACAGTTACTGCCGTATAACCGTAAATGTTGGTATGATATTTTAGCAAGTTTTAATCTATATTCTTTTGCTAACTTAAGAGCGATTAAGGTCCTACGACACGTCCACGGAGGACTATAACCTGTCTTAATCATAACAGTTCAGTGAACTCTCAGCAGACAATATAATGCCAATATTATTAGAAAGTTTTGAGGATATTGTTTAAGGCAACAGGGAACATATGTATGTATGTATCGTATCGTATTATCGTAAAAATAACCCAACCCAAAGCATCATCAAAGAGTCCGTGTGGTGACGGATTAAGAATACAAATTGTCACCACCCCAATTCATCCCGTGGGTGTCGTAAGAGCCGACTAAGGGAGCAAACTAAGCAGGACAACAGCACTGAAAAGAGAAGGAAAACTTGAAACAAACCCTATACCAACCCGTCTGGCCAGCGTGGTATAGTAGGCCAAAACCTCCTTTATAAGGAGAGGCCTATGTCCAGCAGTGGACTAGTATAGGCTGTTGATGTTGATGATGAAGCATATTACAGCATTAAAAGTATAATTAAAACGATACTACGAATAAAAAGAGTAAATTGAAGAAGTGATGAAAAAAAAAGGTGAAATCCCATTTCGTTACTATTTTTATATGTCATCTGTTCACTAGAATCTGACGAGAACTGCACTTGACCAAGTGTAAATAACAAGGGCAAGTGTTACAGGTTCTTTAGTTTTTAATTCTAAAACTGAGTTTAAAAACAAATTATGTGACTGAACTGACCTTACATATAGGTACATGATTCGCAAACAAGAAAAAACCATACATAATATAACTGGGTCATATAAATGCAAAACCACACACAACATGGAGTGACGCGTTGCCAAAACGTTATTGTGGCCAAAATGCGATAAATCAAAAACCGCGATCGATCCATACTCTTTCGTGCATTCGCCATTCGTGCGCCGGGAGGATGGCGTCGCATATAAAACGCTGGTTTAAGCATATTTGAGTACACAGCCGGTCGAAGCCGCTTTAGTACGGTGTCCGGGGTTATGCCGGTGC